ACTGTACCTAATTTCTATTCAGAATTTGCATTTCCTTTTTAAAAGAAGAGACTCCAATATACTTTGCAGAAAAACACACAATTAAAAAAAAATGTTAAGTAAAAAAAATTACATCCTACCCTGTATAAAGATATCTATTTAACAAAAGTAGTCAATTCTTGAGATACTCTAGTCTCTGACACTCTTACAACCTGAGTTTTGATATTCATTTATTTCTAAATAAGTTATTTGATAATTTAAGAGTGAAACTCAGTGACTCATATAGATAATAATAGGTCCATAGATAAAAGAGATAAAATAAACACAGAAATTCCTCATACATTCATGTTAGGGAAAATAGCTAATCCTGCATAGCAGTTTTTTTCCCTTCCTTTTTTTATGAAAACAAAACAAAAATAAAAGCAAGTGTCTAAGTGGCCACTGCCTCAAAGAATAGCAAAAGTATTCTGAGTCCATCTTCCCTACCTGTTAGGTCCCAAAAATATATACATCTTAACCAAGGCAGACACACACAAGGGACACACACACACAAGGGACACACACACACGCGCACGCACATAGGCTTTAACAAGCACATCAGAGAAAACCTACATTCCACATATTTAAGGGAATTCCAGAAGGGCACTCTTCATACGCATTTACATTTGCCTTTGTTTCAGTTTTTGATCCATCTGTTGGAAAATCTGAGACTTCTGTTTTTCTAATGGTTCCATCCTCTTTATCTTCCCGTAAGTTAAGTCCAGAGTCCTCTAATGTGGCTTCATCTTCAGAATTCGACTCAACATCACTTTCATTTAGGCCAGAAGGTAGCAGCCCACTCCACATCTTTTCTTCTTGAGGAAAAAGATGAATTTAGCGTTATAGAATAGCCATGGAAATGATTTTAACACACTGACTGCCACACTAGAAAAAAAAATTTTTCCTTGGGGCCATGATGTTTTATTATGAAAACAGAATAAAAACTTCAGAAACAAAACAATCAATCCTTTCTAATAAAAAATTCATTATTTTGTTGTTTTCTATGCATGAGTTATATGCAATTAAATTGTCAATATTAACTGTAAGAATAAGAACATCAATAAGGTTTTCAGGAACCACTGCAGTTATATATATGCTTCATGAGGCCCCTGGCTCAAAACTAGCATGAGTGAAATACAATTCACTAGGTAGTTAATGTGTTAAAACCAACAGAAGACACCCCAGGAACCTAATGATTATAATAACGGTTGGGATTATAACAGTCCACCTAAACTTTCTTCTTGAAATCTGAAATGGGAGGGGATGAACCCCCTATATTAAAATAACTAAAATCTTCACTGTGTAAAAACCAAAAACAGTTTAAAAGCAGTTTAAACAAGTTGGTTACAACACGCACCTACAAATAAAGCAGGACCTTGATTTTCTAATATATGGATAGTTTTATCTAAAAAAAATGAAATTCAGTAAAGCATTCATTGCCCAAGAATGTTAATAGCCTAATAATATACTTTGCAGGCAATTTAAAAATTTAAATACCATATTCCAGCTTTATCAATTAGAGAAAATAAAGATGGATATTTTACCTATAT